GGAGGCGGCTAGGAACTGGTTGGCTACTGTGTGATGCTGGACTAGATGGACTATTGGCCTGATCCAGCAAGTCTCTTCATATGTTTTAGACACTCCCTTGACAATAGTTCTGTTCTTTGGCTTCCTGAGGATTTATCAACATTCAGGCCATGATTAACAATCCAGGTTCGCAGAATAACTTGCCTTTTAGGACCATCCAAGGGTCTGCTTTATGATACAGAATTCCCTGGAAAACTAATCACAAGGCCATTGGCCATCTTTGTTAATCACCTTTGCTAATTAGGCTTGTCACTCTCATAATTTAATCAGATACCCAAGGAAGGCCATTGAGCCCTGCCTAGCCCTTTGTTAAACCAGGAAAAACTGGTATTCTGGGCAAGTAATCTAATCACCTCAGGTTAATATCCCCGTTTCCCCATACTTTTGAACATGGTCAGTCATGCCCATATTTGGAGTTCCTTCTTCTTCCCATTCCCCTAAAATTTAAACCATCCAATAAGATTAATGGCTGGAACCCAATCCTGTGGCAGCAGAGACACTGTCCCCTTCTCAGTGTCATGAAGGTGCATAAAAGCCCCCTCTCAGCTCCCAAAACCTTTGCATCTGGTTTCTGGATCCTGCCCGTTACCCCAACCTCATGGCTGTTCTGCCTCCTTGCTGAAATCACCGAGTCTGACCTGGGCTACAACATGGACTGTAAGTCAGGCTCCCAACATACTGGATTCCTCCTTCTTTCTTCTCAGGACAGGTATGTATTTGTCTCCACCTTGATCTATCTCCCTTTGTTTTTTTACCCACATTGCACTACATGGAAAGCTGGCATTTTGGTCCTCTCATCTGGAATTTAGGCCTCACATCTGGAAGACTGGACAACTCTGTCCCAACAGATTCCACTTCTCCCCACCCACCCCCTCTGTTTTTTACTGACTGAAACCAAGGCTGGAAGGCTGGCAGTAGGGTTGTGGTTGCCTAGCAACTGCCCCCTGGGGCATTTGTTTCTTAAAGCTACAAGTGCTGCTTCTATTATTTGAGGGGCTTATCTCCCTTTTTTAAAAGATGTCCAATTTTTCTGCAAACTTGTTTTTTTTCTCAGGGTTTTAGTAAGATCCATCCTGTCGGTTCGTGGCTCCAGCCTCCAGATTTAAGTAAGTATCCACAGAAGGCCATTAGATATATTGATGAGGAATAAAATTAAGATCATATGTTCACAGAGCCAAACTCAAATCCATTTTAGTTTACTGTCTATACAGGCTTGGATCCTAAATCTGCCATCCCATCAGCGTCACAGCAGTTCCACTGACAAAACAGCCTCTCTACTTGTGGAAAGGGCAGTTTTCATTTACTTCCTTCCCAGTTCAAGCCCCCTCACACTGCCCCCTAGCCATTTCTGGGGGACCTACTGACCCATCGCAGCACAATTTCAGGGGTCAAGGAGGACGTTGGGGCGGGTGACTCGGCATGAGCAGCTGAGGATGGTAAGCCAAAATATCCAGGCTTACAGATCAAAATACGAGGCACAATAATGAAAAATGCACTCGCTTTGAATTGGCCGGATTTCCCGGCAAATACACATTGAAGTGACAAGAGGGAGAAAGAATGGACCTTGCGGGGAAAGTAATCAGTTTTTTCTTTGCAGCTTCTGCCTACATTTATTCATCATAAGTAACTCACACCTCAATGGGGTTTACTTACTCTGCATAGGACCAAGCTGCCAGTCTACTACCAAAACAGTGATCATGAGTTTCCAGTGAATTTAAAAGGGAAAGCATGATAGTTATCAACAGCATTTCATTTTGTTCTGTAGGGGCTTTCTAGCAAGTGAAATGGGGACTGGCGTCCAATACTACATAGGATCTGCTGCAGTAGCAGGATCAGACTGGAAATATGCTGGAGCCCTTTTTGGACATAAATGTGTGTGTTTTTAATGCAGAATAGAAGGGCAGGAGAACCACTTTACAAAGAATTGTACATTTACTGAGCCCCATTTTAGCCATGCTTATTCAGGAGCAAAATCCTACTGAGTTTTGGAAGTGGGCACTTGCACCCAAGTAAATCTGCACGGGACTGGACCCTTAGACTGAGCTTTAGGCTAAAAGTGCAATAAACGGAGAGGAAATCGCCTGGCAAGACAGAGGCCTTGTTTCGGGGGGGGGGGGCAGACAGGAAGCTCCCTCACTGTGCCCCCTAGCAGACAGGAAGCTCCCTCACTGCGCCCCCTACATGTCTGCTTCGCACTTGCCTCAGAACTATTGTTTTGGTTGCTGGCACAAGGCAAGCTTCCTCCCCCAGCCCAGATGATGAAGTATCTTTAAACAGAGTAAAAATATATCCTTTCAGTCCACAAGTGCACGCCAGGCACCTGATGGAAAAAATAAAGCAGGCGCCCCTTCCCGCAAGGTATGGGGGGAACAGGAAAAACCAAAAGACCTGGATTTGATCCACGTGATCAAAGGGACATTTAGAGCAGCGAAGTGGGGCAGGGAACACTGCTTACGTTGTAGCCCAAACCTCCCCACCCTGGATTTTAGATGAATATAAATTCACGGTGAAGAGTCCACCAGTGGCTGCTGGGCACAGTGACTAAAGGGAACCTCCATGTTCTGAGGTGGTCTGCCTCTTGGTACCAGCGCTGGGAGCTGCGTCAGGGGATATTTATTGTGTTTTTGGCATTGTTTTTATCAGGTGTATCTGACATCTTGTTAGCTGCCCCGAGTCCTGTTCAGGGGGAGAGGGATATAGATTTGATAAAAAAAGAAGAGATTGGATTTATACTCCACCCTTCACTCAGAGCGGCTTACAAACTCCTTTCCCTTCCCCTCCCCACAACAGACACCCTGTGAGGTAGGTGGGGCTGAGAGAGCTCTTGACAGAAACTGCTCTTTTTCAAGAACACCTCTGACAGAACCATGGCTTGCCCAAGGTCATCCAGCAGCTGCGAGTGGAGGAGTGGGGAATCAAACCCGGTTCTCCCAGATTAGAGTCTGTGCACTTAACCACGACACCAAATAATAATAAATAAAAGACTTTATGCTCTATACTGTCTGTTGGCCCTCCAGAGGAACTGGTTGGCCACTGTGTGAAACAGGATGCTAGACAAGATGGACCACCGGTCTGATCCAGCAGGGCTCCTCTTGTGCTCATTCTTGTTCATAGGTATGGCCTGTTGGTGATTTGGTAACAATTGTGCTTGTCTTGCCATGTGCAACAGCTTCCATTTCAGCTTTCCAAACTCCCCCCCCCCCCCAAAAAAAAATGCCTTTAATATTTGGTCAGGCCAGGCCAAGCAGGGGAATGGGAATGGAAAAGAACATGTGATGAAATGTAGAGTTTTAAGTCATACATTAATGTCAGTTGTTTCCATTCGATTTTTTAAGGGATTTAAAATCCCACGTTGCAGTTATTGTAGTGGTTACTCTGGATAGGAATGGCTTGAAAGAAAGAAAGAAAGAAAGAAAGAAAGAAAGAAAGAAAGAAAGAAAGAAAGAAAGAAAGAAAGAAAGAAAGAAAGAAAGAAAGAAAGAAAGAAAGAACCATATGAAAAACAGCATTCCTGTATGGTGAACAGTAATCAAACCAGTTACTTAGAAGAACTGAATTTCCTTGGGTCTGATCCAGGACATGAAGTTCTTTGGAAACTTCAGGGGCATGTAAAGATTTATAAAGATGACGGATGCACGAAAAAGAGCATGTTGAGTACACCATACACAAGTTATTCTAAAAAAACACAAAACGTCTGATGAAATTTTGCCCAACACTACGAAAATAAATATTACTGTCACTGTCATTCCAACACCACTCACAGACAGGAAACATGTTCTGATCCAGTCCGTTACTGTAACCAGACAGCTACTTCTCAAACTCTGTGGCTTAAACTCCAGTCCCCGTCCCCCCTGCTCCATCCCTTGCAAGAATAAACATAACCCCGTTGCTTTCCCTGCCACCCACACGAGTTTCAATTCGACTTTTATGCAGCCAGTTGAGTACTGGAGCATTATAGCAGGATTCTTATGGTGAGTATCCTCCTAGCGGTCTGAAGGGTGGGCTGGATCCCAGTACATGGGCCAATACGAACTTGAGTTGTGTGGAAGACCTGAGTAATGGGGCGATACCTTCGCTGTGCTACTGCGCTTACTCCTTGCTTTCAACTCTTCAACAAGCAGTGAATTTAGAACGGCCTGGATACAGAAGAAAAGGAGATGCCTATGGAAGTAATTTTTCCATGACGAACACATCCCAGGAAATCTCAGCACGAATGCGATTATGATGTACAAGAGCACTCAGGGTTCTGAACTCAGGACATTGTCTTTCAATGGCTGGCCAGGAAATATAGGTGTTTTTATTATACAACATGCACCTCTTTCCAATTACAGGCTCTAGAGGTTCAAAACCCAATAACAAGATGGCAGGAACAAGTTATTTGGCGCCCCTTGGTGGCATTTTGACCATAAGACCCCTTCAGTGTTCATGCAGACCTTCTTTTCCGTGGCTCACAGTGGTCAAAGAGTGCATTCCGCTTACAAAGCGTCTTGTCTCTGCTGGGTCCATCCCATGTGCTCACACAGAGTCTCTAACATCATAAGGCTACACCCAGTCTCCCTCTTCAACTTTCTGCTGGGCAGAAAATTTTACAAAAATTAGACCCTGACTGCTGTCATTCTGCAACCGATATCTATGCTAGCTTATCCTGAAGGTGTGCATTCATCAGGTTTGCATAGTTTACGGATGCTAGATAAAAAATAAGGCCAAGGCCGATGGTGCAAACTCAGGTAAAAATGCATGTTATTACTCAGTCAAATTTCCAAAAATTCCCTACGCATTTCGCCAGCAGGCTTCGTTGGGGGAAATCTGTTCATCTTGCAGTTCTTCAAAAAGAGTAAAATGGTCGGTAAAAGATCGGACCTATGGATCTTTTTCTCTTTTTGAAGAACTGCTGCAAGACAAACAGATTTGCCCTGACGAAGCCTGCTGGCGAAACGCATAGGGAATTTTTGCAAATTGAACTGAGTAATAAAATACATTTTTACCTGAGTTTGCACCATCGACCTTTTTAATCTCCTGTGACTCATGCGGTTCTTTATTTTCTAGTTTATGGATACAGAAACAAAAACTTTTGAACAACCCACCTGTGCTTGGCCCAGGAAGCAAAAGTCTGTCATTTAAGCTTAACAACTCAGCAGGTGTATACATGTGGTTGGTATACCACGGTGTGTGTGTATATGTGAGAGTTCTGGTTTTTTAAACTCTAGCTTCGTGAAAGGTAGAGCTTTTTTCTCAGGGTGTGCTTTAACAGGAGCGAGTACTGTTCCGTAGGGTGATGCGTGTTCCTCTCGTAAACTCTGTTGTTCAGCTCCAGAAGAATATCTATCAGAGACAACTTCCTGTAAGAAACAGGGAGGAGAGAAAATGGAAAGAGTGATGATCTTCTACAGCTGCGTAACACAATGAGATGATTAATCTCCAAGACATCTGTTCCCAATCTCCGGCCTGGCAGCGCCAAGCTTGGCAAAAAAAGATCCTTATCGATTGGGTATAAGAGCTTTGTTGTGACCCCAATGGCCCAGGCTAGCCCGATCTAGCCAGATCTCAGAAGCTAAGCAGGGTTGGCCCTGGTTAGCATGGGAGGGGAGATGGCCCGTAGCTACGGTGGTGGGGGCTATTCGGCACAGCCCCACAAGATTTCCTTCTGAAAAGGCTTTTAAAATTATTTTAAAAACATTTCTCCCGGCTTGCCTCTCTGGTCTCCCCCCTCCCCTGGAGGGGAAAATGGCATCTCCCCAAACGCTGCTTTATATTTGCGGAAGGGACCCGCTAGCTTGCCATTGGATTCCACTGGGTGGAGACTGGAGACAAAAAAAAAAAAGGCTCTGTGGAGAAGCAGCTGCTGTTGCTGAGGGGAAGGCTGGGGAGGGCGAAGGAGTGCAGCGTGAGTGGGAAAGAGCCACGGCTGGGATGGGATCCCTGAAAGGTGAGAGGACGGAAGTATGGGCTGAGTGGCAGATCCATGGGAGGCGGGTGAATTCGAGGCCTGCCCCCCTTTTAAAGATGGCTGTGCACTGACAGAAAAAATAATGGCAAATAACTACAGCCCCATCAGGAAAAAAAAATTGCCCCACAAGCCACAAAATCCTGGCTACTATGGGCCTGGCATGGGAGACCACCACGGAAGTCCAGGGTCACTGTGCGGGGAAAGGCAATGGGCAAACCACCTCTTTTCATCTCCTGCCCTGAAAGGCCCCAAGAGGGGGCTGCCGTAAGTCAGTTGTGACTGGACGGTGTTTTCCAACACCACACATGAGCTTTCCCATTCAAGGCTGCCTGCTGATTGGTTAAGAGATGCTTCCGACCCATGGATTACGACAGGACTTCCACCCAACGAAGCACACCTAGTGTCAAAGGAGTTGATGGTCTGAAGCCAAAAGCCTCTCGTTTCTCACGTCTTCCACCTCAGCGCTGCTCTTTGCATTTTCTGACGTACAAAACAGAACAAGGCTTAACTGCTAAGATCCAGCCAGCTGGATCGTGGGTGCAGAGAGTTTTCTGGTTCTCAGCTAAGGGAACAGAAAGAAACTTGGAGATCCCTAAAGATCTTTCCATCCCAGAACTGGAACGGGGAGTCCTACGGTGACCGTGTCTCCGCATGGCAAGTCGGGGGCAAAACTTGAGACCCCCTCAATGTGCAAAGCTATATTGTTAGCTTCCGTAAAGTGAGATGTGCAACTGGAACACTCCTCTGCTTGTGGAAGAGGACAGAGAAACCCCCACTGGGGCCCGTAGCTAAAGTGGGGCTAGTCGGGGCTCCGCCCCCTTTCTTAAAGGGACCGCCCCCACGGGCTCCTTCCCTAGAACAATCAGTGATCCTCCCATCTCTTTTGTAGAAGTCCTCAGTGTAGAGAAAAACCTTGCAGCCGGATCCTGGGAGGGTTTACTCTAGAGTCAGTCATTTCAGTCTTGGAAGACAAGACATTCGGCTATCCTGTGGCTTGGGGAGGGGTTAAATATACTGAGGGCTTATACAGAAGAGATGAAAAGATCACGGATTGTTCTAGGGAAGGGGCCAGGGAGAGCAAGGAGGAAAGAAATTGGGGGAGCATCAATACTAGGTTCCCTTTCCTGCCTCCCCCCCCCCAAATATCTGCCAAATGGGTTTTGCATTTGGGACGATCTACTGCAAGACCAGGGCGAGAAAAAGGGGTACGGATTGTTCTGTACGGTTGTGTACAGACAGAAAAATAACGGCAAAAACGGCAGCCCCACCAGGACAAATTTTTGCCCCACAAGCTACAAAATGGCTACCCTTGGTGGTCCACATTGTTATTAATTCTTTATTTACAGCCTGCCTTTCTGCCCTCATCAGGACCCCCAAGACGGCTACCAGATTAAGAACATATTCAATAAAAAAGACATTTTAAAAACCAAAGAGAAACATGTCATTAAAACAGCTAAACCCAAAGCAAAAATACACAAACAGCAGCATAAAAACAGAGATGAAAACATAAGGCAGGAAGGAGGGGCCACTGAGGGAACGCCAGACGAAACTGCACCTGCTGGCGGAAGATGGCAAAAGTAGGGGACAGGCAAGTCTCTCTGGGGAGACAGTTCCAGAGTTCTGGTGCCACAACGGAGAAGGCCCCCTCCCGGGTGGCCACATGCCTAATCTCAGAAGGCGGAGCCAGCTGAAGCAGAGCCTCCAAAGATGACAGCAGGGGTCAGGTAGGTCTATAAGGGAGCAAGTGGCCCTCCAGGTATGCTGGTCCCAAGGCACGCAACTATGAAACAGTTTCGGGCCTTTGTATTCCAAGTTTTCATTAAAAAAAAAATCTGTACCAAGAAAAGCTGAACTGTAAAAAAATTTACAGAATTTATTCTGCTTTTGTTGGTTACGGGGAAGAATAAAGAAGTATTGCATAGCACCAGAACTTTAGCCATCCACCCCACTGGCTTCTGAGATGTTAGTAAATGCTGCCTACAATACATAAAATGTAGAATCCTTTTTTTTTTTAAGTGACTGTTCAGTTTCTCAGGAAGCTGAATGGGTGCACACATTCCCACATTCTGTGCCGTTTCTCCCTTTTGTGGGACTGCAACATATGCACAGCCCTGTCCAAGAAGATTACCAAGAACATACAAAGAGCCCTGCTGGATCAGACCAGTGGTCCATCTAGACCAGCATTCTGCCTCACGCAGTGGGGCCAACCACTTCCTCTTGAGGGCCATCAACAAGGCATAGAGGCTGAGGGCTTCATAAGAACATATGAAGAGCCCTGCTGGGTCAGACCAGAAGTTCATGCAGTCCAGCATCCTGTCTCTCACAGTGACCAGTACCAGTTCCTCTGAGGGGTCAGCAACAGGGCACAGAGGCTGAGGCCTTCCTAAGAACATCAGAGGAGCCCTGCTGGATCAGACCAGAGGTCTATCTAGTCTAGCATCCTGTCTCATACAGTGGCCAACCAGTTCCTCTGGAGGGCCAACAACAGGGCACAGAGGCTGAGACCTTCCTAAGAGCAGAAGAAGAGCCCTGCTGGATCAGACCAGTGGTCCATCTAGTCCAGCATCCTGTCTCACACAGAGGCCAACCAGTTCCTCTGGAGGGCCAACAACAGGGCACAGAGGCTGAGGCCTTCCTAAGAACATCAGAGGAGCCCTGCTGGATCAGACCAGTGGTCCATCTAGTCCAGCATCCTGTCTCACACAGAGGCCAACCAGTTCCTCTGGAGGGCCAACAACAGGGCACAGAGGCTGAGGCCTTCCTAAGAACATCAGAGGAGCCCTGCTGGATCAGACCAGTGGTCCATCTAGTCCAGCATCCTGTCTCACACAGAGGCCAACCAGTTCCTCTGGAGGGCCAACAACAGGGCACAGAGGCTGAGGCCTTCCTAAGAACATCAGAGGAGCCCTGCTGGATCAGACCAGTGGTCCATCTAGTCCAGCATCCTGTCTCACACAGAGGCCAACCAGTTCCTCTGGAGGGCCAACAACAGGGCACAGAGGCTGAGGCCTTCCTAAGAACATCAGAACAGCCCTGTTGGATCAGACCAGAGATCCATCTAGTCCAGCATCCTCCTGTCTCATACAGTGGCCAAACAGTTCCTCTGGAGGGCCAACAACAGGGCACAGAGGCTGAGACCTTCCTAAGAACATCAGAAGAGCCCTGCTGGATCAGACCAGTGGTCCATCTAGTCCAGCATCCTGTCTCATACAGTGGCCAACCAGTTGCGCTGGATGGCCGACAACAGGGCACAGAGGCTGAGACCTTCCTAAGAACATCAGAGGAGCCCTGTTGGGTCAGACCAGTGGTCCATCTAGTCCAGCATCCTGTCTCACACAGAGGCCAATCAGTTCCTCTGGAGGGCCAACAACTGGGCACAGACGCTGAGGCCTTCCTAAGAACATCAGAACGGCCCTGTTGGATCATACCAGAGGTTCATCTAGTCCAGCATCCTGTCTCACAGAGTGGCCAATCAGTTCCTCTGGAGAGCCAACAACAGGGCATAGAGGTGCCGAGGCCTTCCCCTGATGTTGCCTCCTGGCTCTGAGATTCAGCGGATTAGTGCCTCTGAATATGGCGGTTCCCCTCAGCCACCATGGCTAGTAGCCATTGACAGACTTATCCTCTATGAATCCATCTAATCCCCTTTTAAAGCTTTTTTATTCCCATGGCCATCACTACATCCTCTGGCAGCAAATCCCACATTTTAATCACTCTCTGTGTAGGAGAAGTATTTCCTTTCGTCTGTCCTGAAACTACTGCCCATCAGTTTCATTTGAAGCCCTCAAGTTCTAGTATTTTGAGAGAGAGAGAATCAGTTCTCTCCGTCCATTTTCACCACCCCAGGCATCATTTTATAAACCTCTATATCATGTACCCCTCTTAGTCGTCTCCTTCCTAAACTCTAAAATCCCAGACTCTTCAGCCTTTCCTCACAGGGGAGATGCTCTAATTTCTCATCATTTTGGTCGCCCTCCTCTGTACTTTTCCCAGCTCTGCAATGCCCTTTTTGGGAACTACGTTTTGTTTTGTTTTTCTTCTGAAGAAGCCATCTACCTTTTGCGCGTCTCGACCAAGAGCTCCGCAAGCGTGGACAGATAGTAGGAAGTTGAGTTCGACGATCGCTCTAGGGCCGACGCATCCACCATGCTCTGGCTCCAGAGAATGTCCGCTACCTGGGGGATAGCATTCACGAGATCGCCGTCCGCCTCCACGAAGCTGCGGGGCTCTTGCCGATGTCCCGGCTCGACGTAGCTCTGGACGAAGAAGAGCTTCGGCTTCCCTAAGAGGGCCGTGCACTTGTCGCCGGTGAAGAACCTCTTCACCTTCTCCAGAGGGTAGCCTGGCAAGTGGCGGTCGGTGCAGAAGATGTCCTCGCGGCTCCCGCGGCTGACCACGACGCAGACGAAGCAGTCGTAGTCCTTGTGCTGCTTCATCCGGGCCACTTCGCACAGTTTGTGGGGCAGGGACTTCACGTCTAGGAAGGGGTAACTGTGCACTTCGAAGCTCAGGATGGTAAAGGCTTCGGCCAGGACACCTGGAGAAGGGACAGAGAAACGAGCCTCTTGAATGCACACGCCTCCACGGGAAACTCAGACCCCCCTGGGGCTCTTCCGCAAAGTTGAGGCTCGGTCTATGCAGCGGAAAGGTGAAGAAATCACTCCTGAGAATCTTGGCTGAGCTCTAAAAGGGAGGAGGAGGAGGAGGAGATATACTCCACCCTGGAGTGGGGAATCAAAATATACCCCTGGAGTGGGGTATAAAATATTATGTATTTTAATGTAATGTAACTTGTATTTTATTGGAAGCTGCCCTGAGCCCGCTTGCGGGGAGGGCGGGGTATAAATTTGAAGAAATAAATAAATAAATAAATAAATAAATTCACTCGGAGTCTCAGAGCGGCTCACAAACTCCTTTCCCTTCCCCTCCCGACAACAGACACCCTGTGAGGTAGGCGGGGCTGAGAGAACTCTGACAGAAACTGCTCTTTTTCAAGAACAGCTCTGACTGAACTACGGCTTGCCCAAGGTCATCCAGCAGCTGCGAGTGGAGGAGTGGGGGAATCAAACCCGGTTCTCCCGGATTGGAGTCCGCACACTTAACCACTACACCAAACTGGCAGACGGAACAAGGTTCTAACCCCCAAAGCTACAAAGATACGCTTGAATGTATGTGAACCGTGCCCTGGTGAAGTCTCAGAAGCCCTGAGAGGAGGCTAAACAAGATTCCTACTAGAGCAAAGTTTGAGTCCAGTGGCACCTTTAAGACTAACAAAGCTTTATTTATTCATGCGCATGAAAACTTATACTCAGAATAAAACATTGTTGGTCTTAAAGTTTGGTGAGGTGGTTAGGAGCACGGACTCTAATCTGGGAGAACCAGGTTTGATTCCCCACTCCAGCACGTGCAGCTGCTGGTGTGACCTTGGGTCAGTCACAAGATCTCTCAGAGCTGTTCTCTCGAGAGCAGTCCTCAAAAGAGCTCTCTCAGCCCCGCCTGCCTCACAGGGTGTCTGTTATGGGGTGGGGAAGGTAAGGAGAGTGTACACTGCTCTGAGACTCCTCTCCTCCTCTTCTTAAAGGTGCCACTGGGCTCAAACTTTGTTGTGTTGCTTCAGATCAATATGGCCACCAACCTGACTATACCAAGATTCCCGCTAGTTGGGCAGAAATAAGCTTAGATGCTTTCCAACGCTCTCTGTGCCTAGCAAAGACTAACACATGGCCAAAAATAAATACATATGCCCCTTTAAAATATACCATATTCACTTGAAAGGAAGATGACCCTCAATGTAAGACATCACCCCCCAACCCACCCCCCATGTTATACCCTATAAGATTTTTTTATCGGACATAATGGTAACTTATGTACGACTTTTAAGATGACCCGCCTCCCTTTCTTTGAGGGCCTATCCGGGGGGGGGGCACACACCTAGATTTGCATCTAAATATAGTAAATATTAGGGTGATGCCCTGGCCGCTTTAAAATTTAGTGGGTTGGATCCAGATTAATGTTCCTGCTAACAGAATACGCTGGATCGTTTCCATCGATTCTTTCTTCCTGCTAGAGGACCCCCTCCCAGTTTGCCTCTTGTCCTGTTCCTGCGGGTCCCCCGTCCCCCCACAAAGCAGCATTTTGGGGTGATTGACAGGCTGCAGCGGGAGGGGGAGGCAGGACATTCTCTTCCACTGACGGCAGTGCCTTTACACGAGCGGAAGGGTGCCGTCCGGATCCAGCCCAGACTCAGGGGAAGGGGAGATGGCGTTCCTCCCCCTGAACGACATGGAAGCCTCCCAGCTCCTCACTGGTTTGGCGGGTGTCTTTGTTCGGCGCTGGCCTGGGTGAGACAAGGCCAACGTGCCCCTGGCACCAAAGGAGCCTTCCCCATATTTACGTAACAGCCACCGCTGAAGGCGGTCCCTGAAACTCTTCTCTCACTTCCACATCCTTCTCACCTGACCCAGCCATTCCCCCCCCCCCATCCCCTTCGCCAGGACTGTGAATAATAGGCTGTTTCTCCCTCATCAGCCACTTTTACCAGGAGAGAAAGGCTGCCCGCCCACGCACAGAATTTCAAATCCAGGTGAGAAACAGCATGCCCTTAAAAAAAAAATTTTTTTCCTTTCAAACGCGGAACCCTTTTGGGCCTTGTTTCTCCCTGCTGGAACAAAAGACTCGACCGAAACCGCAGCTCCAGCTGATAATCTGCAGTCCAGAAAATTCCCTCACGCGCTCACGTTACCAAGGATGCCGCCGGGGAAGACGGAACAGATACCTGCTGATTGCTGAACACAGGCTGGGGAGAGCTCTGGCCCTGCTGAAGGAAATCTCTTTCCAAAGCGGCTAGCAACTCTCCCCCCTCCGCAAGCTCTCTGAATTGGGGGGAGCAGGTGGTGGAGACGGCATGCAGAATTTAAGCATGGCAGGCCGGGCAAAATCCCAGGCCGAAGCAGCCTCGATACTCCATGCAGCAATGGTACCATTATGCAAATTGGCTTATTTTGCATAATTACATAAGTCACAAAATGTGGATTGCCGGAGGATAGGTTTTTTTTTAAGCACGGCACACACACGCACATACAGCCTTGTTCAGAACTTCACTACAGGGGTGCAGGGATCCATACGGGAGTCTTTGATCCTGTGGCATTCCTTGCTAGACAGGTATAAACTCCGGCTTCTCCCCTTGGCCTGGCGCCCACTGCGAGGCCCATGAAGAGTAATAATTTTACTTAGCAAAGCTTAAAAGAGGATTCCTTTTTAAAAAGCCAGTTGGTACATGAGTCAAATGGGAGGCATGGATTCCAAAAACGCCCACACTTCCCCGTCTGCTTTGCTTGTATATCCAATTATTCAGGAAAGGCAGGCAGAGAAGAAAGAACAGGGAAAGAACAGACAGCAAGAAGAGATAAGAGATGAAAACGCTTCCTCCCAACCCCCCAGGTTTGGGGCAAGGGTATAGGGGAGTGTGCAATTGCACTACAGCGGGACATATTTAGACATAGTGTTCAGAATATCAAGCTATTACAGGGGAAGGAGGGGAAATGGAACACGAGAGGAAATTCCCAGTAAAGTCACTAGAGGGCAATATCACACTATTATATCAGCCTCTACCTATATATATGGACTGGTAATTTCTGTTTTGATGTATCTGAAGAAGTGTGCCTGCACACGAAAGCAAGCTTATACCTTGAATAAAATTTTGTTGGTCTTAAAGGTGCCCCGCTGGACTCAAGCTTTGTTTTATGGTGATTAACTGGCTAGTGAGGAACAGAACTCCTTGCTGTCTTTAAAAAAAAACTTTGCCCTGGCTGTATATTTGAGATATGTCTTTTCTGCCTTTCTCCACAACGGACAACCAAAAGCCGCTTGCAGCATTGTTCGCCCCTCCTCCTCCATTTTATCCTTGTAACAGTCATTGTACATAAAACGGAGGAAGAACAGAATGACGTACCCCCTCTTTGGGCTCCAATCATGGAGGAAGAGGGGTATAAATGAAGTAAAAACAACCAACCACCTTCTGAGGTACGTTAAGCTGGTCATCCGGTTAGCTACCATGGCAGAGTGGGGATTCGATGGCAGGGTGGGGATTTTCTCCAGGCAAACTGATTTCTGTCTGGGTGATCTCCAGCCCCCAACTGGAGGTTGGCAACTCTAGTTTCTCTGGAGGCAATGGATGTTTTGGAGGCTGGATTCTATGGCATTGTATCTTGCTCAGGCCTCTCCCCTCCCCAAACCCTTGCCCCCCCCACCTTTTACTGACAGAGACAAGCCTGGAATACTGTGGCTACCTAGCAACAGCCACTGAGGGAATCTGTTGCTTAAAGCTACAGGCACTCTTTTTAACATTTTCGGATTTTTTAAACTACCCAGTGTGTTGTTTTTTTTAGATTTCATAATTTTTTGTTGTTGTTGCAAACCTGGGGCCCTTCTCAGGTTTCCAGAAAGATCTGTCTTGCCCGTCCACAGCTCCTGTCACCGGATTTAAGTATCCAAAGTTATCCTGTCTTCGTTATTAGAATATAAGATGTCCAGTTAACAGTGAACAATTTCCACCTGCAGGCTTCATAACCTCTTACGGTGCCGGAACACCAGCACTCTACTTTGCTACTAATGCTAACATGCACATCTTTTCCTTT